TTTTCATGTCCTTTTTCCTTCTTCCAAGTTTCATACTTCATATTAAAAGACTTTGTGTCCTGAAGGTCATTGTTTTGGTAATTTTGAAATTGATCCAGATATATATGGAATATGGTTCACTGATCGTTTTTGTAGGATTAGATTTGTTTTCATTTTTTTCCCCAGGGTTTTTTTATACTAATGATCCAGATCTTGTAGTTATTTGCTTTGACCAGTAAACTTATCTAGATTAAAGGCTGTTCCTTTCTTATTAATTTAGTTTTATTTTATTGTTGTTGTTGTTAAATCCAGTACTTTGATTTGTGGAACGAGCCTTTTCATTTGAGAAAATGGAAATAGATGGCTTAATATCTTGTCAAACAATAAGTTCTGGGTGGTATAAAAGCATTGAATCGCAATAGGACTCCAGGTTAAAAAAATTTGACTTTGAATTTTAATGTCATTTATGATTCAATGCAAATAAATTGGTTTTTTCTTATCTCTTTAAACCCAAAACAGTCTTCCTGCAGTTGTTTGCTTTCAGCCTTGCGATTGATTTTGTTCTTATAAAACGATCCTAATATCACGGATATAAAAAATTAGGTTATATGTCTGTTTGGGTGCCTTTTTCCTAATATGACTCTTTTCTATTTAGGATGTGAAATGAAGTTCACTGATGAATATTGTTTCTCTTTTCTGTAATCTTTATAGCCATTACTCATGCCACATTGAAGTAACTGTCTGTACTAGTGTATTTAATATCTTTCCCTTTTTTCTCTTTTTTCTCTTTATTTTTTTCCTATTGAAGGTTCTGCACCTGTTAAATCTGCTGAATTCAGTGGGCAAGCTGAAAAATCAGCAAAGAGAAAGAGAAAGAATCAGTATAGAGGAATCCGGCAGCGCCCATGGGGAAAATGGGCTGCCGAGATTCGTGATCCCAGGAAAGGGGTACGTGTCTGGCTGGGAACGTTCAATACTGCAGAGGAAGCTGCAAGGGCGTATGATACTGAGGCGCGTAGAATTCGTGGCAAGAAAGCTAAGGTGAACTTTCCTGATGAAGCTCCACTTTCTTCATCAAAGCAGTCAATTAAGGAAAACACACGGAAACCACTTCCAAAGACAAATTCAAGCCAGTCTTTCAGTTACTTGAGCAACCCAGAACTGAATTATAATAATATGGGCTTTGTGGAAGAGAAACCACTAGTTAATCAGTTTGGATCAATGAATTCTTTTCCAATCAATGGGGATTCTGGGATGAAGACCTTAGCTTCATCTGACAGTGCTCCTATGTGTTTCAATTCTGACCAGGGGAGCAACTCATTTGATTGTGACTTTGGGTGGGGAGAACAAACCCCAATGACTCCTGAAAGCTTGACTGTTCTTGCAGCTACACCAGAAGCTGATGAATCTCTCCTTGCCATTCCTGAGGAGTTGGAATCATACTCCGAGAATGCAGTGCCTGCTGAAGAGAAGAATGGAAAATCCCTGTCCGAAGAGTTGCTGGTGTTTGACAGTCAGTTGAAATACCTTCAGATGCCAGATGCTGAGGGTAGTAGCTGGGAGGCTTCTCTTGATAGCTTCCTTAATGCAGAGACAACTCAGGATGGCACAAGTGCAATGGACTTGTGGAGCTTCGATGACTTCCCCTCTATGGCTGGGGGAGTTTATTGAGCCAACTTTCTGTGCTTGCTAGGCTCTGTAAATAACAAGGCTACATGCTCATGAGTTTCATCTCTATGTTTGGCTCTTAGTTACAGAAGAAGTTTGTTTGAAGCATATCAATAATTGCCTTCTACGTTTTGTTGCTTGTAGGGATGGTTGTTTATCTGAGTTGGGGCTGGAGTACAAACACAGCTGAACATGCTTAAGCCTTAGTATGGGAGAAGCATTCTCTGGAGCTTTTGCCATATAAAAGTAGGATTTGGGTATTTAGTTCCCGTTCTGTTGCATTTGAAGTCATCGAACTTGGGAATGTTGGATATGATGACTGTAAATGACAATATCGTGTGATTTGTGTTGAAGACTAAATCCATAAATTTCAACTCTTCTGTTGGTTTCCTCCATGGCCATCATTTTTGAATCATGATCGATCAAATTCTTCTCTGTGAAAAGTTATTTTGAATAGTCTCCTCACGCCCAAATGCAAAGAATGATGGATGAAGTCAAATTAGGGCCAATTTTATTATTTTTCTTCTATTAAATGAAGGGTTCTTTTCTTGCTTGCAATTGCAGATGGAAAAGCGATGGAGTCTGTCAACGGTCATCAATCTTTTCCTTCACAGAAAATGTCTTTAAACACACACAGCAGCACATGGGTCATTCGAAGTCATCTCCTTTGGATTTAACTAACAGATAATAAACTGTCTGGTTAAAATCCTGTAGCCAAGAGAGAAATCAGTATTCACTGGAACAGTAGAGGGGTAAATTTGCTTTTCTAACCACAAAAAAAACTTACGGTTTTTTTTAATCGAGATAATTAAATTTCTTGATGGGTTCATAGATCATACTGATTTGGTTTTTTTTATTTTTCCACATAATAACAATAGAATTATTTAAATACCCTTATAAATAAATAAAATTATTGACTTGAATTTGAAAATTTGAGGCCTTCTCTTTAAGGGCTTATTAGTGATTTCCTCTTAGTTTTTGATGGACGTCATATTGAGAGCATATTGGTATTTTTATTGAACTAAAAAATAAAATAAAAAAAGGGAGTGGGCGTGTGTCAGCCACTACAGTTAACATCGCATTCAAACGACACTTGCAATGGTTGTAATTGCTAAAAATATCATTCCAGGGTATTTTCCGATTTGTTTTAGGGGTGATTAGCTGTGTTGGCATCGCATGTATTCTCATTTTAGTTAGTTCAACGCTGAAGAATTTTGTTTTTTTTTCCTTTTCTCTCTCTTCATCTAGAATGACACGTTGCTTTGAAAGAATCACAATAGTCTTTTAATTTATTTTTTCTTGAGATTTAGTCCCTTTTATTTTCATTGTACTTCTTTTATTTCAAATTGAAAATTGTTTTCAAATTTATCCTCTTTTAGTTTTTTCATCTCTTGATTTTGATACCCATTCTTTTTATTCTTTTATTTTTTTAGATGGTTTGTCAAATTGATTTTTTTGTTGCAATTTCATCCTCCATAACTTTTTTTCTTAACAAGTTTGATCTTTATTTTTTGATTTTTTTTTCTTTGAAAAAATCTATGAATACATATTTTTTTTTTTTATAATTACATCCTTCTATATTAAATTTATTAGGAATTAGGTTTCTTTATTAAACTTGGTATATGATTTCACGGGTTACAAATTTAAAAAATTAACTAAGGTATAAAAAATTTGCTTGATTTTTCATGCTATTAAATTAAAGATTTTTTTTGCATGTTATTAAAATAATCAAGCATTCAAGCTTATTAAACCTTTTGACGTAATGACTAGAGTTTATAATTTGTTTTTTGGAATTCATCTTTCAACATTATATTAGTTAGGAGTTGGGTTTCTTTATTGATCACAAGTTTAAGATTTAACAAGTTTTGAATTTGAAGGATTAATTAATGTTGAGAAAATTCACTTAGATTTATTTGGTTTTTTATATTATTAAATTAAAATTATTTTTTTCATATTATTAAATTAAATAATTTTACGAAACCCAAATGACATAATGACTCGAGCTATAAGTTTTTTTTTAACTTTTCTATAATCACTTATGTTGCTTTAATATATTTTTAATGTACATTTAAAAATTTTAAGTCATTTTTTAGATTTATTATTTTTTATTATTGTTTTTAATTTTCAATATTTGATTCATCATAATTAACCTTTCTAATTTGTTTTAGTATAGATTTTATGTATTTATAATTTAAATCATGAGTTTTGTAATTTAATCATGATTAACTAAAGTTCATTTAATATACTGCTGCTTTAATATTAAAAAAATAATATACCATTTAACACATCAATATTTCAGTATATATAAAAAATTGTACATGCATCAAATTCTTTACTTTATAATGTATTTATATTTCTTTTTAAGTTTGTAAAAGAAAAATATTCGGCGGAGTAACCGGGGTGAAAAGAACTATTGTATATACATAACAGGGCACATGAAATGTACCTGTCTGCCTGGCAGATAGCGGTGACTCGAGCTCCGGAGATTGAGCCACTTTCCCAACCATCTACCGCTTGGCATATAGTTGGTGGTAGTTTTCAAAGGGCTGTCAGGTGCTATGTTGTTTATATATTAAAATAATATTTTCTAAATTATCATTTATTTTTAATATTAATATATTAAAACTATTTAAAATTACTAAAAAAGAAACATATCATAATACAGAAACAAAGACGCTTATCATCAACCCCCCTCCCTCCGGTGGCTCCAAAATTGATGTCGAGGATTTGGGGGGGGGGGGGGGGGGATGGGCCCCACTGTAATATTTCTTGGAGATCACGACACCTAGGTTTGCGAGCCCTCTCTCAGACTTAAAAATACCGTACAAAAGAAAATGACTGGGATTGGACGGTGCGTAGGAAGGCGTCGCGTGACAATTTTTGAGCTGAGCAGCAGCGGCCATCAAGCACGTGCCACCGTCGTCTAGACAATTTTGCCCTTTTCATCACAGAAAAAGGTTTCTTTCCCTTTTTTTAAATAAAAATCGAAACTCGAATCTATTTTATTAAATAAAAAATATATATTGCATAGACAGCTAGCAGATTCACTTGAAATATATAATCATGATTTAGATTTTATTAGATTTTAGAAGCAATTTCTCTCGATGACAGGGAAGGTGCCTGTGTTTTTTATCCTTAAAATAAGGTCAAAGGTTGTAGCTGTGCAATTGCAAAAATATCTTTATGAGCCAGCAAATATAATTTTTCTAATGTGGAAATGTGATACCAATACAATGAACAATGAGATGACGGGTCTCTTTCAGATAAACATGCTTGTCTTCTTGGAAAGTAATTAATCAGATAAAAATATCCCGTGGGGAACCATCCCCCTATTTGCTCTGTATTTTAACCTCCAATGTCTTATGAATGCAGATTTTATAGATTATCCTACAGTAGTGCCGGCAACGAGCTGTGGATCCACACTATTTTTTTAATAAAATATTTAGATATTATAAGTACATTTAAAAAAAATATAAAATATTTAGATATTATAAGTACATTTTCAAAAAAATAATAATCAATTACTCGGGTTATCTTCTTCACCAATTAAATATGCTAGTTTTGCTTGATTAATATTAGAAAAAAAGACAGTGATAGTAAAAAGATAACATGGAAAAAAAACTTTATCTAAGTGCAAAATATGATATTATTTAATTTTTAATTAATTAAATATGAAAGAATTAAAGAAGATAAAACAAGAGAAAACAAGTTGGTATGAACCCATTCAAATTAACATTAAATGGCGAGCTAGTAAAAATTAATCAAACAAACTTGCGTTCTAAATTATAAGATCAAGATAATTAAATAAAAAAAAAATTAAAAATAATCACAAGTCATACTAATAACCTAAGTTATGAAACCCGGAGCATTATAAATTAAAAAATCATGAAACTCAAGAAAATAAAATGTTGAAGGATGATTTAAAAAAAAAAATAAAACAATAAATAAAAAATAACAATTCAAAAGATAAGGGTTAAAATCGAAAGAAAAAATAAATTAAAGAGCAACAACAAATTTTCATTTTAAGAGTTCAATTGAAAAGAATAAAAAAATTAACAAAAGGAAAACAAATCAAGAAAAAAATACATAATTAACTTGGATTGCAGGGTAAAATTAAAAACAATAATTTTTTTTATAAAAACATCAAGAAAAAAACAAGTAATTAAAAAAATATGGATCACATTAAAAACACCAATACCTGATAAAAACATTAGCATGTAGAATTTGTTGACGTGTAAAACAAATTCTTAAATATAAATTGAAAAACTTATGCACATATCTAGTCAAATCAATCACAAACTATTTTGTAAATAAATAAATAAAAATCCATCAACGATAAATAAAAACATAATTGAAAAAATTAAGAAATAAATGTAAATTAAGATATTTAATATCGCAACATGGAATATTTATCTGGTTGTATTTAATGAATTTATTTATTAAAATTAATTTGTAATATAAATCGACACACACATAAAAATTATTAAATAAAATAAAAGGAAAGATTTTTTATGCAAAGCTATACATATTAAAAATATTGTAAAAAATGAATGTTTTTTATTTTTAAAAATAATTTCAATCTATATAAAATATAAAAAAATTATAGATAAATCATATTAACCACAAAAAAAAAAATTAAACACACCAAATATAATTACAAAAATAATTGCTGTTTAAAAAAATCAAATATTCCAAAACAATCATAGAGAGGAGGTACTCATCAAAACATAAATGCAAAAATTATTTCAATAAATACATATAAAAAATAGAATTTTTAAAAATAATATAAAAATAAATAGATAGATAAAAGAATATAGCCAGACGTTGTGGTCTTGGCAAACTAGGCCAAGCATCTGACCCATCTATAAGGATGACATGTCATTCGTCCTATTATTTGACCAATAAAATAAACGACACATCATATGTATTGAATGAAAAGATGTTGTTTATCATTCCTTAAAATCAATGGTAAGAAAAAAGAGGTTCTTGTTTTTTCAACTCAAAAATCATTTTCAAACTATTTTTTATCCAAAACACCTAGAAAATAACATTGGAATCTTGTTAAATCAATTAATAGCCTTCAAAAACATAATAAACCGTCCCAAAACTCATAATCAACTCAAAAAAAAATCTTTCCGGGCTCATATTTGTTGTTTTAGGTGATTTCGAAGTAAAAAAATATATAGTTTTAACTTCTATTATTATTTGTAACTGTTTGACACAAAAATATATATTTTTACTGGTTGGAATAATTGCTAACAATTTTTTTCCTTTTATGCTAGAATCCAACGACCTCCTCTCTCCTCCACTAAAAAATGAACTAAAAAAAGAGGAAAATGAAGATTGACACCACACTTGGATTTTTTAAATTATAAGGACTGAGGAATTATTAGCCAAAAAAAATAAGAAACTAAAATGAATTTTTCAAGAAAATCTCATATCACTATCTATGTAACCAATTTTTCTCACTTCAATAATTTGTCTTTCGATTCAACCCTCCATTACCTAAAAAAAATGTGATTGGGTGCAAATTTAGGCTAAAAAAAGCTCAATTCTACAAAAAAAGGTTTGAGAAACAAATTGAATTTTAAAAAAATCATATGAAAACCGATAATCAACTCGAAATAAAAAATATTTCTAAGTTTAGATCAGTTTTTTAAGCAATTTCAAGGTAAGAAAACATACAATGTTAACTCTCATCATTATATAAAATTATTTAACATAAAAATAAGTCATTTTAGTGGCTAAAATCACTGTCAATGAAATTTTTTTTCTTTGCATTGAAATCCAGAAACCTCCTTTCTCCTCTACCAAAAAAACTAAAAAAGATAAATATAAATATTAATACTAAAATTAGATTTTTTTTAAATTAAAGGGACTAATTACTTATTAGCAAAAAAAAAAATGAGGAACTAAAACAAAATTTTCAAGAAACTCTCAAAGTCGCCGGCTATGTTATTCATTTTTGTTTTTATTTTAATTCTCTATCTTTCAATTTAATTCTTTAAAAAAAATTATAATTGGATGCATATTTGAGTTCAATAGTGTATTTAAAAAAATTTTAAAGTTTAAATTTAAATTTTTAATAAAATGACTTTTAATTCACGGTGATATGTGAGATGATCCACAGTGAAATTGCTACAGTAGAAGAGCCACACGGCATAGGTTTTTTTGTTAATGCTCTATAAAATGTATAAACTCCTATGATGTTTAATGCTCAACAGGAGAGATGAGCTCCAAAGACTAGTGATCCTATGCTATTTGTCACTCTAATCGTCATCGAAACTGTAATTAGAGGTTAAAATGAATTGGAAGAATTTCGGTGCTCTTTCATTATTATGATTTTGCGGATCCGTTTCAGTGTGCATGATTGAGGCATGGAACGTTAGCACATGACAGGGAAAAGCCCAAGAACCTGGAACGTCAGTTAATTTTGTTGTCATACCCAGATCAGGAAATCTACGAGTACTGCTGTGGCATATGCCAACTGTTGGATGTCTACATTGAATCGGTATTGGTCAGTGTATCTCTGATTCAGCTTTTATGCATAAATACTAACGGTCTGCTACACTGTTTGATGGCATTGAAGGTTAGAGACACAAGGTATTTGGTTAAAATAGCTGTTGTTTCATGGATAATGTGAAGAAAAAGCTAAAAAAGAACTATAAAAGCTTCAGAATGGAGCTTTTAAAAACCCTAACTTTTGGCTTTTGACATAGAATCCATGAGGAGGAAAAAAAAAAAAAGCAAGCTAACGTCCGTTGTATTATCTTGACAATTCGAGGAGAAAATGAATTGTGGAAACAAGCTCTTGGGCTACCTATGACCCATTAAATGGTAAGAGAGCTTAGGCAGCCCACCACATGTTGCAGGTTAATGCACCTCTTAAGAATTGGGATCGAGCAACTTTAGGGAAAGTGTGATCCTTTCTTTGAGCACAAAGTTACATTTTGAAAACTATTGATGAAGTCATCTGAAGAAAGGAATAATGGAATGCTGTAGTTAGGAAGCAAACATCAAGTTCCTTAAGAAACAGGGACAATAACTAATGCCAAAGTAGCATAACAGCCATACTTTTTTGGGGGATAAACACCATCATGAAGACATGACATGGATGTTTCATCAAAAAATCCAGGTTGTTTTTGTTGCCCCGCATTCCATAATGCATGTTCTTCCAAGACTTGCTTTTTATTTGTATTGTTTTTCTTTCTGTTCCTATTCGTGGCCACTGGGATAGCTGCATTGGTTGTTATCTTCATTTTGAAGCCTCAAGAGCCAAGATTTTCTCTGGAGACGATAAGAGTGGATTCATACAAGCTCAATGCTTATTCCAATTCAACACTGTTGATTTCATCTGTTATCTCTCTGTTACTAAACGCTCAAAACCACAACAAAGTTGGCATAAGATATAGCCCTTCAAGGCTTCATATTTTCCATCAAGGAATCCCAATAGGACTAATTCGAGTTCCTCAGTTCTATCAGCCAGCTCATAGTGACAACGTTGGTTTAACAGCACAGATTTCTCTTCCTCGTTTAAATGTCACCAGAATTTTTGATCAAGGTGTCTCAAAAGAAAAGGCAAGGAAGAATGTTGTACAGATGAAAATATTAGGCGATGCTAGACTTCACCTGCTGTTATCTCGCCTAACATTGCCCAAGATCAAGGTTTGTTCTTCTGCATGGTATTTTATCAAGTGAACCTAATTAAAGAGGTTATCGAATGACTTTGAAATGACAGGGGAGTTATCTCCTTGTCCTTGTTGCAAAAAATAATTGAACTGTAGAGGATTTTGCTTCCCTAGTTAGCATGGTCAGTTTTCATTTTCTTGATAAATAACTAGCACAGTCGGTTGTTGAATGCTCACAAATTAAATCCAAGTTCAGAGAATGATTTTATATTTACCCTTTTTTCTTATAACCCTTTAATCAACTTCTGTTTTTGTAGGTTGCCCTGGAATGTGACATAGGCTTCAGCTACACAGAGTTTTCATTCAAAGACGAACTTTTTTCCATGAAAGTAGTTCGAGATCTTATAGTATGTATTTTTCTCATTATGTTCTACCTCTCAATTTTTACTGATGATGTAGAGGCATCTTATCTTTTCAGATAACCAATCTGTAATTCTGCTTTTCAGGCATCTTTTCCAGTTAAATCTGAATCAATCTCCAAGAAGTGTAAATTAGCTTTCTATTTATAATGATGGTGAATTTCACTCAATAGCTAGGACTCAGGCATGTAAGATAAAATCACACATGTTACTGTGTTGATATGCATGTCTACCGATAGGGATCAAGCAAGTGATTTCTGTAACATCTTATGATTGTTCTTAATTAATGGGCTATCACATAGTTGTTGATTCAACGGATCGTTTCCACATATCATCATCTCACATAGTAAGTGCTCAATTTTCCTTCATCTTCCAAGCACGTTTCATTCTATTCTACCTAAAATCTGAATCCCATAATGCTGCAGCAGGGGACCCCATCTCCATTTCGTGGATTATGAAAGCGGAATTTACAGGCATGATAAATTGGAAACTATACTAGACTATATTATTTTTTCTCTTGAACTTTTAGACTCGTTAACCAATCGCGAAACATGATATCAATTATATTAACTAAGAATAAGTTAAACTGCAGCTCAATTCCAAGAACTTTCAGAGAAGTGCTAACTATGATTCTGACACTCTGTATCCAAGCTTGATACTTGAATGGAAGAATTCGCAGAATTCACCAAAGCAATAAGCATATACTTATCGACAGACAGGAAGAAAAAAAAGGAAACACTTCGCTTATCAAGATTCACCAGTGACCTATATTCAGCAACAAATATGATTTTAATTTTTGAAAGACTGTATGTCGACTAAAATCTTGCTAAAGTATTATCATAGCTTATGCATGCGCCGAGCACTGGATCAACATCAGTATTCAATCATTCAGCTGTTTATTCTCCAAAGGAACTGATTGCTAATGATGCATATGCATGCACACGTTAGTTCAGAAAGAATCGCAAAAAAAATAAAATAAAATTAAAATTAAAGCTAGAAATTCTAGGCCCGGTTGGGAAACTAGGAACAACCGGACATCAATTTACCCGGATTAATTCAGTAGAATATAATTCACAATTCACAAGTCCCAATTCTTTCCCTCTTTATGCAGTAAAACAGAATCAAACAATGATCAAATATAATGCAAATAATCACAAAATCAACACCAAGATTTTAACATGGAAAACCCGATGCGGGAAAAACCACGGGACCGTAGTCCACCTAAAAATTTCCACTATCAACAAATAATGAGTTCACAATCATTCTTTCTTACATTCAACTAAGGGATACAACATATATATATCATCAAGAACAACTTATTCTCGGATTACAACAAGATTAAAGGAGAATTATTTGAGAAAAACTCACAATACTGACAACCCTGTTTTCTATCAAACCAGCTAGCTTCCACACCACAAATCTTCGATCCAACCGTCCAAAATGAAGAGCAACGTGTCTAGAAGTTGCTGTCAAAATCTCAACCCGATCCAATAGTGAACGAGCTGGAAAAAAAAAAAAAAAAGAGCACAGGCTGCTTTGCTGCCTCTTTTCTTTCTTTCTCTCTCGGTTTTCTTCTCCTCTTTTCTGTTTTTCAATTCTGCTGCTACAGTACCTGAACCACATTAATTTCAATAACAAGAGACAACCATCACATGAAAATTAATGTGGTGGTTCCACCATCACATGGTCTGGGACCACACACAACAAATCTCCCCTTCACACACCATGTGAGGAATTCGCCATACCGGCGATCAATATGTAAAATTCAATTTAGGAGGCTCTAACAAGCCTGCTTCCTTTCTGCAAAACTCAAACTTCTCTCTCGGTAGAGGTTTGGTCATCATGTCAGACACGTTGTCATCAGTATGGATCTTCTCAACAACGAATGGCTTCATCTCCATAGCATCTCGAATCCATTGATATTTAAC